GGGGGTGCCCGAGGGCGGCTGGTAGGGAGCTGGTTCTGCCCGTGTGAGGAGGCGGAACGCGAGGGTTCCTGAAGCGCGCGGTGACGCACCCGGCGGCGCTGCGGCCGTGACCGCGGCGCGCGGGCCGGGCGGGTCGGGGAGCAGGTGCCGCAGGGGGGTGCGCGCTACTGCGGTGCCCCCTGGCACGGATTGGCACCCGGGCAGCTGCCCGGCCTCCCAGCTGCTGCTTGTGCGCGCCGTTTCCTTGGAGCGCTGCTTCTTGCGCATTAATAAAAACGATAGGACCGCCAGCTGCTCTGAAGTGCAGACACTAGCTATGTTGTAAGCACTTTATCAGTGCGACCCTACGTGGTATCTAAAAATCAAAAGTAACATGCTGCTGTTGGACAGCGTCTATACAGGACGCACACAGACTTTTCTAATAAAGAAAGACAATATTTTTTAAGGAGAGTTTTTGAGATATATAGATTTTTATTCCTGCTTTTAATGCCTTCTCTGCACTGAAATAACTGGTTTGGCCATTGTAGCAGAAAAGTATTCTTTATAATCAACTGCTTGAATGGAGTAAGTTTTGCTCAAGCATGGGCTTTGTATTATTTACAGCTGGTTTATATTGCCCTGTGAAAGACTGGTGTGACATCCCTCTTGAGAGGAGGAGAGGGGAACACTGTTAGTATTTGTATTGCCAGTAAATCCTTTTAAACATGTGAGACCTTGACTGAGGCACATGGGTAAAGCATTTACTTCTGCAGCTGTTACCTATCAAAGGTAATAGACTGAAGATCAGGGAGGAATGAATTCAGTGGCAGATTAGTCACTTCATAGAAATATTCTGAATATTTTCCAAGGCCACATTGTAGGGACATGATTAGTAATTATTGTTTTGACTTTCATAAGCTAAAGAGGTTTTAAGGCAAATAATCTTTCTTTTAATGCAACTTCAGGAGTGGAAAATGGTTTTGTTCTTTCTCTTTTTATCATTTCCTTTTTGCAACTTGAGATTGTGAGTTATGATCAGATTCTGGCTGCTTAGAAGCCACCACCTTATGATGTCTAACTTGTGACTTGCTTGTAAGGGGTAGTGCAAGCTACAAGTCCAGCTGTTATCTGAACTTTAGACATTATCTCTACTGCCATTTTCTCTAAAATGTGCTCAAGATCACTATATGCCTCTGCTTTCATTTCCTACATGACATTCATTTCTGACTTCAAGCCTTAAAACTACCCTATCAGCTGCTATGACGTTAAAGCAAGCAATGCTGTAGGGACACTCAACCTAAAATGCGAAATTCCAGGAGAGGCAAGCAGAGAGTGTGCTTGTCTAAACAGGCCTTAAGTCCTAGGAAACTGCGTCGCTACCACGGCACCTGGAGCTGCTGGTAAATCCCCTCTGGTAAAACTTGCCTATGCTCGGACGGAGGTGGCTGTGCGTGAACTGGAAGGCCTATTCCTGAGTTGCTTTCAGCTGAAGAGAGACTAGATCATTTATGGCCACTCTGCAGTGTGAACCGAAGGGAAATTTGCAGGGGCCATGGAGAGATTTCCTTGTTAGGCAGGCTCCTCAGCTGAACTTTAACAGAAAACCTGGGATTTTACCTTTCTCAGCAGGATTCTGTAACGCTAAACGTGCTGCCCTTACCAATCATTTTTACAAGGCAACTTATTAAATTCCTGGCAGTCCTGTATTGAAGACTGGTGACAGATCTTTTGAAGATCAGGATCTGCCATAGAGATAAAAGGAGAACTTGTACATCATGTCTACATTCAGGCAGGATGGAAATGAAACATTGTATTTCTCTCACTATTCATAAATCCAGGTCAATGTCAGACTGTTTTTGCTTTGTTTGTGAGGTGAAGAGCGG